TAGTATACAATAAGTACTGCCTCTGTATCCTCTTTTAAGGAGACGCACCCAGCATGCACTCCCCTATCTGTGGGATGTAATAGTGATTGGCATTTGGACAATAATAAAGCGTTTATAGAGTATTGATTAAAGTCAACTCTGGGCTCATATCTCTGCATGTCAGTAATAAGTGTAGTAGAACTTGTGCCAACTCTGACGCTACCATATGTCGGAGGTCAGACCATCATCTCTCTAAATAGGTGGGCTACAAGTACCGGTAATAGAGGACAACAGTGTTGCTGAGACTGCAGTAGGCTAAACAAGCTTGGACTGAGCTTTGAGGACTCGACTGTACTATGAAAGCCAAGCAAGTCTAAACAAAGAGACTCAACTGCATGAATTAAGGGGTACATTAGTGTAAAAACTGGGTAATTAAGTTACAGCCAAATTCACCCCTCCCCCCCTCCTGTTCTCGCCGTGAGTGGAGTCTCCGGTCACTGAATAACCTTAGACGTTGGCTTCCGATAGCAAGGCTCGGCTAGTCAAAACCTAATAAGGGGTAGGTACGATCCTCCGAAGGAGAGACAAAGACGGTAGCCGATGCACTCACCTCGGTGTAGGTAATAAGAGTAATCCAGAAGGTCTTTGTCGGCCGCGGGACTGAAAGCATGGCCCAGAGGAAAACCATCAGAGGGCAGAACAAGGAGAGGACATTGGCCGAACGCATGTGATTCAGCACTAGGATGACATAGCAGAAGAGTTCCGAGTGCACTACCACAAGGTTGCCGATGGCTATAAAGAGGAGGAAGAAGCTGGACCTCGACCGACGGAATGCCTTCTCGCGCTGCTGATACTCCGCCTCCCTGGCTTCCTCCATGGATAAGATGTCGTACTGTTGGAGTAGCTGTAGGGCGGAGTTGTTGAGGGACCTCTCATCGATGGAGTATCGATTGCGCTGGCGTCTGCTGCGCACATCAGATGCCGTGTTGTTGTTGCTGTTGTTCTCACTCGGCAGCACAGCGTTTGATCGGTAGGGACTGCGATTGCCGGAAATCACCTCCAGCACAATGGACTCCAGATCCACTCTGTGAACAGACAGATAGGGTTATAGAACAGCTTGTGAGAGAAAAGGAGGAGAAGGGCTTCGACCGGTGGTTACGTACTGAGAAAAGCAGTAACAGCAACAGACGCAAAATTCATCAGGAAAATGAAGGGGGGGGGGTGATAGTAGATGACGGTAAATAGAAGGTGATCGCTAGTTAGGCCGTCCGTCAAAGAGGATCAAGCAGGATAACTGCGCTCAGACCACAGACGGTCTACATGAACTATGTTCATGGATCGCGGCAGCTATCCAGACGAAAGGAACAATGTCGAGTACTTAAAGAAAGGAGTTAGCGGATGAGGCAAGAGGAAGTGGGCAAGATAAAGGAGGGATAACAACAAAGTAAGAGAAGAAGAAGAAGACAGACAGACAGACAGAGGATGATGATGATGATTATTATTATTATTATTATTATTATTATTA